AATGAAATGAACAGCATGGTTCAAAAGCTAAGCCACGAAAAGCTGCTTGCAGTATCCGCAGAGTATCTGAACAAAGAGTACAGAATCGCAGCAGAGGACAAGCCTATTCAAAGCATACTCCTAAGAATCCAGCAGGAGATAGAAGAGATATGCACACTGGACAAGTTTGCAGCTGTAAAAATTCTGTTGTCCGAAAACATTATAGCAGAGCCAATAGAAGCAATGCTGCTAAATTCTATGGAGGAAATGAAAGAGCTTCTAAACGAAATGCTAAAAGAGTACACAAGTGAAGAAAAAGCTAAGAACACTGAAAGCACAGGATTCCTAGAAAGATACGCAAATTTGTACGATAACGCTGAGCATAAGAGCAAGGCTATAACGAACAGAGCAATATGCAACGGAATAAGACTGCTTAAGGAAGAGTACACTTTAGACACACTAGTGGACAGACTGGCCCGCTCTGAAGGGAAAGATCTGTCTAAGCTTCTTTTGGAAATGATAATAACCAGCTACAGAACAGAGTCAAAGCTGTTGAGAAAGTGCTGGGAGTACTCTGACCTAAAAGGCAGCAGCATAAATGTGAAAGAGCATATTATAAAAATGGAAGAAATACTAGAGGCAGAAAGTGATGAAAATGCCTTGGCAATTGCTTCTACCTATCTGTGCAGCGTGCTCAATACTCTCCCACTCTTGGCTCTAAAAGTTCTTGTAAGAGACAGAAGAATCTCAAAGTGTTTGTGGAGTATCATCATGCGCAACTACAGAAAGTATGAAGCATCAGTGCTGGCAGGGCTGACAAACAGCAGTGTGCTACTGCAGAACCTTCCCAATGGAAAGACATCGTATGAAACACAGGACGTATCAGGGCTGGAGGGAGAAGGCGTTATTTTCATGGTGCCGCACATATTGGACACAAAGTACCCTTTGCAATATTTGCAGATAATCGACAAAATGAAGCTGTTCAGTGCAGAAGAAAGTGCTAGCGGATACTCAGTGCCTACAAAATGGAAGTATGAGAAAGAGAACAAAACATTGAAATACGAAGGCGTTGACTCTGCAGTATCTACAAGCGCAGTGGAACAGACAGTGTGTATAACAGAAAATGAAAGCGGATATTTGACAAGCGCAGAGGTGTACAGAATAGTGCAGGAGACTATCATCTCTATGCTAAGCAAAGAAACAGTGAGAGAATACGCACTGCACGCATTGATAGGCGAGTTTATAGATAGAGATGCCGATATAGTCAAAAAAATAAGCATAAAGCACCCAAATATACACCCGAAGATAATAGAAGCCATTCAGACACACTGGATAAAGGCTGCTCCTGAATTGCTGGAGAGAAAAGTAGTGGAAGAAAAGATGAAGAGACAGGCACCAGAAGCGCCCACAAGAAAAGAAAGAAAAACACGAACAGTGGCTTTATCTGAGGGCAATGAACACGAGGAGAAAGAAGAGTGCAGAAGAACAGGAATAATGTCTGCACAGCTCTCAGTGTCCAGAACAAGCACAGACGAAGATGTAGACAAGATATACACTACAACCAGAAAGTACGATGAGAGACAGATGGAGGAAATATCTGAGCACTTCTTCCAGGAGCTTGAAAGGTACTGGAGAACAGACAGAGACAAAATATCATCGCATTTTGACAGGGTGGTTAGAGCCATTAAGATATTTTCAAAATCAAAAAATATCGATAAAATGGGGAAGATAATCAGCGGATACTTTGACTACTCGTTTGCAATAGAATCTGAGGCTGCAGATGTGTCAAAAGAGATAGTCAAAAGAGTCCTCGAAAAGAATGCACCCGAAAAAGCATTCAATATCCTCAATGCCATCTTCAAAGACAGAAGAGTGGTAGAAATATATGCAGATGTGCTGAAAGAGGCTTCCTCTGAAACCATCCACAGAATACTCTCCAAAGAAAAGCCAGGAAGCTTTCTGCACCAGGCAGGGATACAATCTGTGCACGCCAGAAAAAATGAACAGATTTACTCTCTGGCCATAACAGAAGCAATAAGCCAACTTACCAGCAGAGATGATGATGCGCTCAACAGCAGTTTGTACCTACTGAAAGAAGAGTATAAAACCAATGCACACAGCCCGTATGCTGCAGAGATAGTAAGCCATGCTGTTCGGCTCCTGAGAATGCGAACAAAGATGGACTCAGCAGGACGCTCTGCCCTGGAAATCCTTAAGCATGCACTGTTTCACAACGATTACCAGCTGGACATAAATAGCAGAGAAGATATAATAGCCAGTATAAAGTACGATGTGTACCAATACAAAGAAATACTTCTTTTGTACATCGACGAAGTTCCAGCTAATGAGTTTGTGGAGATAGTCGGGGATATAAACTCGCCCACTGCAAAATCAGCAAGAAATGCGCTCAGACAGGCGATTAAAGAGTACAAAACAGAAGACAGCAAGGCCGGGGTGTACATCTTCAACCGAATAATACAGCAGGCAAGCGACGGAAGCACATCGGATAAGATATTCATCATAGAGCTGGTAAAAGAGATAGTGGAGCAGTACGCACACGGGGCATGGATCACAATATTCCTGAAGGTGTCAGAAATGATAGCGAACGAAGAGAAAGAAGAAGTAATCACAAAACTGCTGGAGCTAATGCAGAAAGTAGTTGCTAAGTCGCAGAACAAGAAAGGTCTAAAGAGCATCTACAAAGAGTGGAAAGAGAACAAGAAGCTAGACAGCCTGGTAAGAAAGATGGCCAATGTTTTCAAATAGTAATAAATAGAGAATCTATACTTATTTCCCGCCTGTTCATTTGTACTGTATCTGCTCATTTGTACTTTTTCTGTTAAATTTAATTTAGTTTGGTTTTCGGTTTTTGTTTCTGTGTGTTTCTCCGATGAATGCCTCTCTTCTCTGGCCATAAATTAATTAAAAGGAAAAAAAATGAAAATAATTATGTTGTATACAGCAGAAGATACGATAACCCGAGCAACAACCAGACTCAGAAAGGTCTTGGACAACGGAAGCAAAGAAGCCAGAGAAATAGTGGAGAAGCTCAACAGCAAAATACTTGATAACATGGAAATCACCCTGCCTGCACTCATCGAAACCATCAGCCTCCTATTTAAATGCGAATCCCTGTACTCAAATGAAAAATATACCGTTCTGGACTTGTTCTACGACCTTATCAGCGATCTGCTAAGGAACAAGGAGAGCATCGATCTAATGGACATTCCCGTGTCTCTGGGGAAGATGAAGTTTCTGAAAAATGAAAAGAACGTGGAAAGAGCTGTTATTGTCTATCTAAAAGTAATCACGCTCTTGCTGAAAGTGGCAGATACCGTTGACCTCCGCATAACTATTTTCAAAGTGTTCTGCACTCTCTTTATGTCCAAGTCTTTCATATCGAGCACAAAGTGCGGGTATCTGATACCCCCGATGTTCAAAGAGTTTCTGATCGAGTACCCAGAATTCATCAACAACCTACTGGAGAACCAGGACAAGCTGATATTCTGTCCGCCTCTCCTGGAGATAGTTTTGGTTTCGTGCCAGAAAATGAACTCAACCCTTTCCAGGCTTATTGTCCTAGACTCAATAAAGAGAAACTGTAACAAAATGGTCATCATGCTGCAAGGGAAAGGGTTCTACGACCCTTTCTACTTCCAGCTGTACATGGAAAGAGAAACAAATCCTATGCAGGAGATATTCCCTATATTCTGCAAGAAGTCCTTCCTGGAGTACATGTTTCTTGATGTCTCCACGCGGCTTACATCCAAGAGCATTGGAGACATAGTTATAGAAAAAATATGCGAAGCTGGAACCATCCACTTCACGCGGCTCCTAAAAGAGCCTGACACACAGGCTGCATCTAATGCAGGCAGCTGTGCATACTGTCCTATTTCCTGCAATTTAGATAAGATAGAAGAAACGAGAAAAACAGTGCAGGCAGCGCTTGACCAGTTCAACATCTCAGGAGATGCAGGCCCTCTTATAGAGCTAATGGACAAACTGGGGTACAAAGACAGCTACATTGCAGCAGCAAGAATACTCAGAGTAAATACAGACACAAATTTGGTTTTGCTTGGTAAGTATCTGGGAAGAGAAGAACATGCTCGGTTTCTGGAGGCTTTTTGCTACTCCTTTGACTTTTCAGAATATGACATTCTGACAGCCCTGCGCGTGTTTCTGCTGAGTTTCAATCTGCCGGGAGAGGGGCAGAAGATAGAGAGAATTATCTGTGCTTTTTGCAAGAAGTACTCAGAAGATGGAAAACAAGATAGCGACACAGTGCTGTCTATCGCCATGTCCATCATTGTCCTTAACACAAGCATACACAATGTAAATGCGATTAAAAAAATAACGGTCGAAGAGTTCACGCAGATAATAATGAAAGAGTGCAAGGATGTAGACCTGGAGTACTTGGAGTCGCTTTATGCACAGGTAAAACAGAGAAAGCTCCAGGTGCCTGTGAGCAACAGCATATCACTGGAGGTAATAGAGTTCTTAGAGCAGATGGCAGAGGCTGACCAGAAGCTGCACTCGGTGCTGCCCGTGGGCCAGAGATACAGCTACTGCAGCAGCTGCACAAAAGCAGTATACAGCTACATTATACAGAAGTACAAGATGAGCAAAAGTGTGATGGCGCATGGAACATCGTCTGAGATAAAAACGTACATCAGATCGATTGTTAAAATTGGCATTTCAGAGACAATAGTCAAAGACGCGATAGAAATGATCAGCGACCCGTATCTCATTGTTAAGCTCGTGGATGACTACAAAGACCAAATATACTCGCTGTGGCCTGCCTTCATTGAGGCGCTGGAGAAGATATACCTGCAGAGAGATGACACAGGGACCACTCCGCGGTTTTTCAGAAATATATTTGCATTTGGAAAAGAGCCCAAAAAGGACAAAAAAGACTTGTTTCCAGACTCTGTTATATTCTCAATAATTGAAAAAACAAAAAACATTTCAGACAACGAGCTCCTAGAAATATCGAACATTCTGCAGACGAAGATGGAAAGCAGCAAAACAAAAGCACTGTACAAAACAGCATACATTCTTGTAAAGAACAATGCAAACAGAATAGCCGTTGTGGGGTCTCTGCTCGAGATGCTAATGAGCACGGGAGGAGCGTCTGGACAGGACATTCTGGCCATCTGCGAGACAGCGCCCTTCTCAGACATTCTGCACCTGCTGTCTGAGTTCCAGTACAAGCCGTCAAAGCACGTAACATCTTCTGTGATATCAGTTCTTCAGTACATTATTGTGGTTTTGACGAACAAGTCTCTTTCCTCGAGAGAGATGCATGCAATTAAAGAGTGGACGAATGTTCTCATAGGCTCTGAGTCGTTTAAGCTCAGAAACTCGGAAGTCGTGATCTCTATTTGGGAGACAATTGAAGAAATATCGCTGAGACTAGACAGCCTGGGATACGACAGTTTTGAAATATTCATTAAGATGAAAGACATTCTCACAAAGAAAAGCAGATCGGAAATACTGTCGAACACAAGCGCATACTACAAAAACATCAACAGAATGCTCCTGTGCCTAGACATTCTATCCTTTTCAAACTCGCCCGAGCTAACAGAGATTTTTTCAAAGATGATCTCAGGCCTTTTGGACAAAGACACAGCCGGGTGTCTGTCCATTCTGGAAAGCTGCGAGCACGTGCTTGAAACCATCCCGGAGATACAGGAGAAGGTAGAGGAGATAGTCTACGAGAAAACACAGGGCATAAAACAGCCAGACATAAAGTATCTTAAGAAGTTGATTATGAAGATGAACCTCAAAATGACACCAAAAAAGGAAATAGTTGATCTATGATAAATATTATCCACTATTCCCACATGCGGAAATAAACAACCAACAAATAAAAATCTTACAAGAATCTGTTATATCCTATCGCGCTCTCTTCCATGCTGTGCACAATGTATATTCTAGCAATTTCCACCCGCATAAAAACACAGCTAAAAGTGGACACAAATGCAAAATCACTGAATAGCAAAGCAATAAATAACTGATAGTTGTAGCACTAGGAATTAAAACAGTAATGGCAGTAAGTTGTAATTGATATTTAATTATAACAAGGTCTCTATGTGAAGAAGTAAACCAGCCTGTCTTTTCCTCCAGCAACAATCATACTCCCGTGTATGTCCACTGCGAATACCTGGTCCTTGCACACAAAGTCAGACAAAAGCGTTTTCTTCTCCACTGAGTACACTTTCACTGTTTTATCCGCTGAACACGACACCAATAGGTTGCCACTTTCTGAAAAAACTGTCTGATATGCCAGAGATGTGTGGCCCTGGAACGTGTGCGATAAGTATCCATTAACCGATGTCCACAGCTTAACCGATCTGTCAAAAGATGAGGTGGCAATGTACGCCCCACTAGATGAGATGCTCACACTCGTAAGCACATCCCTGTGCCCCACGAGCTTTCTAGCAGGCAAGAACTCCCACTTTCCATCATCGCTCCAAACAGGCCGCCACATGATTGCCGTTCTGTCGTCACTGATGCTAACAAAATAGCTCTTTCCCGATTCTGATAAATTCGTTTTTGATTTTTCCGTTTCTGACATTCTCCGAATAAACAGGCCTGAGTCCTTTCCCATGTGCACAGCCATCCCTGTGACCCACTGCGCGTGTCCTCGCAGCACCTGCACCACTGCCCCTGTTTCATCTGTTACCTTAACTCTCGTATCTCTTCCAGCTGATAGCAGATAATCTCCAAAGTACTGCACGGCAATCACGGGCTTCTCATGGAAGATGCTCTTAATGTGGCCCTTCTCTCCCCAAATCCCTGCGCTTCCATCTCGCGAGGCTGTTGAGAATATCTCGCTGTCGCTTCTCCAGGATATTGCAGTGACTCCGCCCTTGTGTATTTTTTTTGAATAAATAACCGACATGTCAGAAATGGAAATAAGAGAAACTCCTCCGTCCATGGATCCTGCTGCAAGCCATTTGCCGTCAGGCGAGTATTGTATGCACTGGATCCAGTGCAAAAATAGCTTCAGAGACTTAATCGGCGTCTTAGTGGAAGCACACCAGAACCTGACAGTCCCATCTCCCGAGGCACTGCACACGTATTTACCACAGGGGCTGTTCTTTACGCTTAGAATGGCTGCTGTGTGGCCCGAGCATGAAGATGCAAGGTACCCTGGCGCACGGGTTTTCTTTGGCGGATCGTCTGGATAGCAGTATATCTTCAATATTTCCTCGGCAGATGTCTTCTCTTTTTTCTGGGCATCCTGCAGTGTGCTTATAATCTCAGAGCCATGGACAAACATTCTCATTCTTTCCTTATCGGGCATATTTGGCGGCAGTAACTGCTTGAGTGACTCCAGTGTAATGCTTACAGGAAGCTGGATGACGGTTCCCAATGGAACATCGTCGTTGGAAATAAACTGTGCAATGACTTGTGAGTTCATACTAAAAAATTCTGCAAATAATTTCACACCATAAAACAGCTGCAAAAATATTTTAACGGCTATTCGCATTCTGAGCAGTGCGCATGCAAAAAGACACCAAAACATCTTAGTGCCCTGTCCAGTTGCATTAGATAATTCCGTACATTTTACTTATCTTTTTTTCTTTAATGGCTTGGGACGGGTTATTTATTTACGTGTACTTCTATAAAAAGTGTAGACTATTTTACAAACAGTCTTTGAAACAGAAAAGCGAATGCAAACACTAAACATACTAAGATTTGCATGCAGTATTCTTCATTATTTTATGTTCATAGCTTTTATTGGAGTAGTAAATACATTAGATGTCATCTATTGAGCACATCTTAGCGATGTATAAAGAGTAAAGATAGCAGAAACTAAGCAGATTCGCACAGGCCAAAAACAGTGTATATGCTGGCTAATAAGCACTAAACTGTTTGTTATTCTTGCACTCCATGCAGAGTTTTTTCTGAGGTGTTTTATGCTTCACTAGCTGCCCAGTTGGGAGGGATAAAAAACAATAAACTGCACAGCTGCTAGCACAGCAGATATTTTAATAAAATTTATCGTGGATTCTACGGTGGCTGAATAACAAAATAATTCTCTTTGCAATTTTTTTATAATACAATGGACCCAGAAGCAAAGCATCTAGCATACCCGCACATTAGCTCGTATAACAGATTTATTAGCTCTTCGCTTCCTAAGCTAGCACGGAGCTTTAAGCCCGTAACTGTCATCGATAAACACAATAATTCCATTACGGTGTCAATAGAGTCAATTAGGCCAGAAAAACCCGTTGCAGTGGAGGGCAAGGGCAAACAGATAATAAAGCGCAGATTGCTGCCAGCTGAGTGCAGGCTGACATCGCAGACGTACTCCTCAGAGCTGCTGCTTGACTTGCAGATAGTAACTAACGAAGTGCCCAGCACAGAGACTATTTCTCTAGGACACATTCCTGTTCTCCTGCGCAGTGAGCTCTGCCATCTCAGCACAATGTCTGAGAGTGAGCTCATAAGCGCAAAAGAAGAGCCAACTGATCTTGGCGGATATTTCATATATAAAGGCACAGAAAAGATATGCAGATTGATCCAGATACAGAAAAAGTACTGTCCTTTTGGGGTGTACAGGCCCAACATGAGCAAAAAGGGAAAGGCTATGTCAGAGCACGCTGTGTCGTACAAATCAAGCTTTCCCAACGGACAGGCATCGATCATAACTCTGCACTACTGCACAGACCACTCGATCAAGCTGAGAGTCAAAAAGCTGAAAAAAGAATATTTCATTCCTCTCCATCTGGTGCTAAGGGGGCTCTCTGGAAAAACAGACAAGGAAATAAAAGAGTCATTCCGCGCCATCTTAAGAGACGACAGAAGCACAATGGAGTACGTTGATTTGCTGCTCCAGAGCTTCTCATTCCACAAGGAGTACACGCAAAAAGAGTCACTTTCCTATTTGGGAAGTAAGTTCAAGGTGTACTACCAAATGAGCCCAGTCGATCTAATATATGCAGAAAAACTTGTGCGAAAAAGAAAAGAAAAAACCACAGAAAATGAAACCCCTGCAGAGGAGCTATCTGCTGCTCTATCACAGTACTTGGAAAAGTTCTCAGACGCAGAGTATGGAATGAAGTTCATCCAGGACACAGTGGCAGTGCACACACAGTCGCTTTCTGAGAAGTACGATCTGCTCATTCTTTGCATCGTAAAGCTGTTCAAACAAGTCGACGGGAAAATACCTGCTGATAACGGTGACTCAGTCTCCTCCCACGAGCTGATTACAGTTGGCGATACCTTAAATGAACTACTAGCAGAGAAACTCTATTGGGTGCAGAGAGCACTGCAAAGCCACTTAGTTGCTGCAGTGCACTACAACTCTACGCCAGTTTCCGATAGTGCTGAAATCAGCAAAATACTAAAAAAAGTATTTACCCCGCTGGATGTATCGATAAAAAAGTTGCTAGCCATGGGAATGCTAGCATTCAGCAACATAAATACGTACGCAATGATGCAGCAGGCAGGATTTACCATCACTGCAGAAAGATTGAACTATCTCCGATTTTTCAGCCACTTGAGAAGTGTGCACAGAGGAGCATTCTTTGAGAGCATGCGAACAAGCACAGTGCGTAAGCTCCTTCCAGAGTCCTGGGGCTTCTTGTGCCCTGTGCACACCCCTGATGGCTCGCCCTGTGGTCTGCTAACGCACTTAGCACATGCCTGCGTGATATCGCACCAATTCTGCTCTTTGTCCGTATCTGATCTGATAAGTTACGGAATGAGCCATCTGCTCGGAGGCCTTAACGGGATATCTGTGATGCAAAACGGAAGAGTGGTGGGCACAGTGTCAGAAAAGACAGTGGATGGGTTTATTGCTGCTCTGCGCCGCAGGAAGACAGAGGGCGGAAAGTTCGAGCACGCTGAGATAGTTTATGCAAATGAAACTGTGCAGATCATCAGCACGCCAAACAGATTTGTCAGGCCCCTCATCAACATAGCAGAAAATAAAGTAGAGTACATCGGATCAACAGAGCAGATGTACATTCAGATAGAATCCCTTGATAAAGACGCAGATCCTGCGAGATACAGCAACAGCCCGATAAAACCCACGCACAGAGAAATATCGCCAACTAACATTCTGAGTGTCGTTGCAGGAAGCACTCCCCTGGGAAACTTCAATCCGAGTCCCAGAAACATGTACCAGTGCCAAATGGCCAAGCAATCCATGGGCACACCTCCCCACACACAGAAGTACAGGACAGACCAGAAGGTGTACTCCCTGGACTATGTGCAGAGGCCAATACTGCACACGGATTTATATGCTAGGTACGGACTGGGTGAATACCCTAACGGAAAAAACATCACAATTGCGATTTTATCATACACGGGATACGACATAGAAGATGCTGTCATCCTGAACAAGGCAAGTGTAAACAGAGGATTCCTGAGAGGCTCTGTCCTAAAAACAGAAGTGATTGATTTCTCAAACGCACCTGAAATGGAGCTGGGAACGCTAAAAGAAGAGGAAGGGCTGCCGGAGATAGCTCAGCTGATTGAAGACAACGAGCCAATATACACCACAGTAAATACAGAGCTGCTGGAAGAGAAGGTGCACCGCAACAAAGCAATGGAAGCCGTAAGGATTAAACAAATATCGATATACACCACAGAAAAAGGAAAAAGATCGGCAAATATTACGATGCGCATTCCCAGAATACCTACAATCGGGGACAAGTTCAGCAGTAGACACGGACAGAAGGGAGTGTGCTCAATTCTCTACGAAGATGAAGACATGCCGTTCACAGAGTCAGGAAGCACGCCTGATCTAATCATCAACCCGCACGCCTTCCCAAGTCGCATGTCAATAGGAATGTTCATAGAGAACATAGCATCTAAGGCAGGATCCATCCTCGGAACAGATATAGACGGGAGCATATTTAAATATGGAGAAGTGGATAAAAAGAGAAATGAAAAAAATTCTGACGGCTCTGATAATATTTCTGCAAGCGACTACTTTGGAAATATGCTGGAAAAAGTGGGATTTAAGAAAGGAGGAGGGGAAGTGATGTACTCCGGCGTAACTGGCAAGCCTCTGAATGTAGACGTGTTCTTTGGAATCGTGTACTACCAGAGACTGCGCCACATGGTAAGCGATAAGTACCAGGTGCGCACAACAGGGCCTATTGACAGCATAACGAAACAGCCAATAGGAGGAAGAAGCAAGTCGGGAGGTATTCGTATGGGAGAAATGGAAAGAGATGTTCTGATCTCGCACGGAGCAAGCTCTGTGATAAATGACAGAATGGTCGCATGCAGCGACAGAACCATCCTAAATGTCTGCAGAAAATGCAACGGATTGGCGTTCTTTGAAAAGTGGATGTGCAACGGCTGCAACACAAACAGATTCCTTGTTCGAGTGGAGTTCCCCTACGTATTTAAGTATCTAGTGGCTGAGCTGGCATCTGTGAACATTCAGTGCAGAGTAAAACTAGAAAGAGTAGAGACATAATAAATATCTAGAATAAAATTATTTAAATCTTACACTTTGTAAAATTCAGAGTGTTTCTGAAAGATTTATACTTAAAATTTTAGTAGATTTTGTCTTGGATTTATTTTAGTTTGCACTGTAAATCGATAGGATGCTTGATTGTACTTGAATGTAGAAAAAAGTGATAGTTCATAATGTACCTGAAAAGATTTATTCATATTGCATTTGAAATGTATTCATCTACTTTGTTAGATGACACTAGGTTAAAGTATAGCAAAGTGATAGTTATAGAGATGGTAGTTGTTACTATAATGTATAGAAGTGTTAAGAACCATGCGGCCAGCTCATCTCCATACCTCTCATTCTCGTACGTGCCGAAGACTGAAAAGATGTTTTTAGCGCAATGCCATAGCATGGGAACAAACCCTATGTTTTCAATACTTCTTTCTTCTTCATGAGTAAAAATGGAGAGCTGCGGATTTTCAGTGTAACTGGCCACGATGTACTGGTACATTGCTATAAATATGATCGATCTGCTGTTGACCATAAACACCTTCCACTCCTCTCCTGGGACGAGGAATAAAACGAAGTTAAGTACCGTTAATATCATGGATAGCATAAGGAAAAAGTTCCTAAGCACATTTTTTCTTGTCAGGTCTGCGGGCTTTTGTGACAAAGTAAACTTTGTATCGAGTGTGGTGAACAGACCGTAGATTGCTGTTGATGCTAGGATAGAGTATAGAACCTTACACGCTATGTCGTACGGCAAATAAAAAGACCCCATGTAAAGAGTGGCAAAGTATGCAACACACATAATCATCATTACCGCTGCAATAACATTGCCCAAGACGTAATCAGTGTAAAAGACTTTTGACCTGCTTTTAGCCAACAGTTTGCGCAGTGAAACCGCAGTGATCATGAATAAGAATATAATCTGGAAGAAAAAGTTCTCGGATACAAACAGAAGCAGAGTGCTAAAGGCCATGGACAGATAGAATAAAACTGATTTCCAGCTTTTATCATTGATTAAAGTTTTACCATCGAGAATATCTTCCTCTGATTCCTGTACTATCGGCTCTTCTTCTACTATCGGTTCTTCTTCTACCACTGGCTGCACTACTACTACCGGCTCTTCTGGTTTGGGATCAATATTTTCTACAGTGATTGTCTGTACCTTCTCAGGCCTAATTATTTCAATCGGAAACTCCCGGCCTTTTGTGGTGAATATTTTTGTTCCTTTAAGAAAACGTTTTGTCAGCTCTACTTCTTCGAACTCTGATAAGTCTGAGTCTGGGGCAATATACACATTGGGAGTGCTCAAAATCGAATTTGCAAGATCCAGTCTCATATGCTGTTCTATCGGCGTATTTTCATCTACTTTCTCTACTTTTATGACCACTACGTTCTTGGGCTTGAAATTCCGTGTATTTTCTTTTAGATAGGAAATGATTGGGCTCTTTTCTACTACAGTGATTTTGCAGTTGTTTATAATCTCGTATCTGATCAGAGGATGGAGATACTCCAGAACCTTGAGATTGAGAATATATTTTTTTTCTATTTGCTCAGTTTTTTGTTCGTCTCCATACGAATCCTCTTGGTGTTTTATGTATATTGTGGAGAATTTAAACAGACTTTTGTCATCGTTATATATCTTGCGCAATATAAAATTTCTTAAAAAGTGCTCATCTTGTGCTGTATTGTATTCTGTATGATCATCAGAGCATATTTTGTGTATTTCTGATATGTAGCTATCATCAGAATTATCAATCAGTGTATCTACACACTTCCCTAAGTTGTACAGAAACCTTCTTGTGTATGCGTCGTTAGTGGCATTTTTATCTATGATGTCTATGTTCATAACCGAGTGAATGTACAGCATGTTGAATAGAACCTGCGGGGTCATAAGGTTAGTATGCTTATATACGTAAAAATCATCATAAAAGTGCTTAAACATTTTTACATAGGTCTCTAGAGGAAGGTGTAAGCCCATTTTGCTCATTTGCAGCGCTTCTGTGATCTGAGCAAAGAGATGGATTGAGCCCTTCTCGTGGTTTGAGTCTTGACTTCCTATTTTTCTGTAGAGAGACGTGCTTGTTTTATCAGCGACAGTTACATGCGGCAGCACTTGCAGAATATACAACACCACGTCAGCTGCCATTTCTCTATTTTCTGTTGCGTTTATTTCTGGATTTTTTCCGTACGCAAGGAATGCCATTATTTTAAATATGTTGTTTGTCGGATTGCAGTCTATCATCCAGTATAAATGGCTTTTTTTGCTGAGGTTCACTTCATCCAGCCCAGGATCTTCTCCGTAAAGAGAAACAAACTTTTCCACATTATCGTTCATTCTAACTCCATTCACTAGCCCTTCTTCTGCTGGCGCTGGCTGCTGTCCCTCCTGCTGCTCAGGCGCTGGCTGCACGTCTGCTGCACACTCCATGACTGCCAGGAAGACAGCTAGAGCGCAGACAAAGTACACTGCTGTTCTTCTGAATTTTACCATGAAAATATTTTCATACTTTCTATTTAAAGATTGATTTTAGATCATTTTATTTTGCACCTGCAAATATTTTACTAGCTTATATAAAAAATAAAAAAATGTGTGGTGTGCAATGCTTTATTTGCAACGAAAGCAAGGTTCCACTGCCATACACTGCCTGTTTAAGCTCACAGTTTAGCGATTTATCCTAGATGATTGGTGCTCCTTCTTTCTGCACAG